ACCTGTTAAAATATCAGTGCAGGATGAGGGAAATATCTTGTTTTCCACCGCCAGATATTAGTGGAAATTCAATGTTATTCTGTCTTTTTTTTCTTCTTTATCGGGGTTTATGCGAGATGATCTGTGAAGAAACGGATCAAGTCTCGCGGAATCAATCTCCCGTCAGCGGCTGACATTTCTCCTTCACTTCCTGACCTACTGAGGTCACTCGAAAAGACCCTCAGGATGGCTCAGAATACTCCTCGAGATGATACAAAAAGCCTCATCGGCATCAATCAAGTCCGAAGCCCTCCCACACGAGAGAAACCTAGTTCTTCTTTCATTTTTTTCTTCTAACCACTAGCCCAAAAAATATATTTACAGGGTGTCCTGTAAAACTTTTCCTGCTAATTACCCTCCAAACAGGGCTTTTAAAGCCACAATGTACGAATCAAAATGCATCCACCCACAAAAAGAGAAAAAGATTGGTTCCATCGTAAATCAACTGAATGCAAAATTCCCGTCCCAAGGTCTTACGGACATTTTTAAATCACCAAATGTTTTTACAACATTAGTAGGAAGTCCTGTATCACAGATTCCAAATACAAAATATTTAAATAACGGGAAGCTGGATTTAAGAATTAGAAATATTGCATGTTTGCATGCTTTTGAATGATAATACAGTACAAATAATTTGTAAGTTTGCATATCATGAATATGAAGGGCATTTGAGGTCTGGGATCCAGATTTTAGCAGGAGTGTATCATGTTATCGACGACGTCAAAATTCAGCATTTTAGCTTTCCTTATTGTAATTTCTTTTTACTCTGCACACAATCAGAATAACTGCTGATTACCAGATTCAATGAGAAAAAAAGTGTAGGAGAGTTTGAACAGCATGCTCTGTTAATGTTTTTAGGTAAACTGACTATATTCCCACACATTCGAATACAAATTTCACCAATGCAACATTTCACAAGACAAAAGAAATTTTCTCAGACAGATATAATCAAACCACCAGTTTTCTGCGTGCGCCAGAATATGTCTAAATAAAACCCCAATTGCTTTGCAAAAAAAAAATGAAGGTAAAATAATTCCAAAGCCAACAATAAGTGACAGGAAATTTAATGTGCTACAAAATCACTCCCTGGATATCCGAATTCAAATAATGTATAACAATCAATGGACATATATCCACATAAAGCCAGAGAAATTTTTGGTGAGCATGTGAATGGGACAAAATAAAGGCGGGTCAAAATCTTATTCAATTACAAGTAACACCGTAGCGTTATGAGCAGATTTCTATGTCGCTGGAAAATCGATCCAAAATTTTCCTGCTGGGCATCCCTGTTGTAGATGAGAATATAAAAAAATTAAAGAAATTCTGTCAGTCTCGGACAGCACCATATGGCACAAAAGAAGAAGAAGAAAAAAGAAATATGTTCCAGGGAATGAAAACGGAAAGAAAACGCGTCATTTGCAACGCGGAAGATTTCTTGCGCGTGTCACGCTTTTTGTTGGCTCCCTGCTGTGACTCGGTTAACTCGGCGGGGAAGAGCTGATATGCGAGTGATTAAATGTGTGGCGACTGCTGAGGGGGGAAAAAAGACGAAGAGAAATAGAAAAAAAAAACGCCTTGAGCCATGATTATTATTCAATGCCTTGTTGAAAAATGCAACGAGCTTTCAACTGCCCGTGAATTACCGTGTGTAGGAAAAACTGCCTCTTTCTTATACTGCTGGTGTGGGCCACTTAACGACATTCGGGGTATTATTTTTTTTCGGATCCGAAGACGGCCTTTCAGCGCGGACGATGGCTCAAATTAAAAAAAGCAGGAAATTATGATTTGTTTTTCGAAAGTGCTGCTAAGAAAATCTTTTCAACTGTGCTTGAGAACCGTATACATTTTATTTATTTTTTTGTATACAGCATAAACAGAGAGCTGAAATTTTATTTTCTGGACCTCACGAAAATCTATCTGGACTCCGAATATCGAAATTCCGAATATGACCGTATATAGTAAATGACCGTTTATAGTAAATACTCGGGAACTTGAAAATTTTCCAAATGAATCGATTCCATACACGTCTCACAAAGCCTTGGCTATTTTCCCCCCGTTGGGAAGCAAAAAATTGTTTTCAAGAAAGGAAAAGTGAAGTCTCAGTTGGTGGTTCGTTGGAACCTCGAAAAAAAAACCGTGTCTCAGATACAAAGGAAAGGTACGGTATTCGAAAAAAAAAGAAGCAACGATTTACGTAAATAAATGTACTGTTGCTCAACTTCACTTTTCCTCGTACAACTTTGAAAAAAAAAGCGGTGAATCTGATCACATCATTCCCACCGAAACTTCAGTAAATTTCCATGTTTTAATTTTTTTGACATGCAACCATTTCCTTACAAAGACAAAGATTTTTCTCTGTATAAAGATGCTTTTGGTCTCATAGATTTATATCCCTATATAGGCTTGGTTACAATAAAATAAAATAGAAATAAAAACACTAAAAAATAAAATTCTACAATAAAATAAATATTATTTCATTCTACTGTACAATACAATTCTCTCCACAACGAATTTTTCATGGTCCCTTGAATTCTGTTGTTCAAGGGGGCTAAAAAACATTCGTTGTAGAGAGAGTCCACCTGTATAAAATATTTCGAACATTTAAACTAAACGAATGGTAATTTAATACTGTATTTTAAAGAGATACCAGATGATGGTAAAACCAAGAATTATGTGAATTCTTTGAATTTTCTTGGACACTGAGGGAAAATGTCAAGAACCTTCGTCGAGAGTGATTTTTAGAGAGAAAATGTAGTTTTTAAATTCGTACATTATTTTTTTCCGACGCAAATTATATCCTACAGTACTCGCAGCGTTTATTGTACTGTATATAATAACAGGGTCGAGTGTGTGCGTGTAATAAAAACAGACTCACTGTATTTTTCGCATGTTTTTAATGCTGCATTTCTTTTCAAACCCGGGGTCAACTGGGTTTGGTCGGTCGGGAGGGTGACTGATGGCTAATCAATGCACTCTGGGTCCGGAATTCCTGTCGGTTGGAATGTGGGCTGCGTTTTTTTTTTTTCCTGCGTTTTCGTTAGCCGTGAGATTTATTCATTTTTCTGACATTTTCTTTTCATTCATTCGACATTCATTTATGCATCCATTTTTTTCCTAACCTCCAGGTATTGTGGGTGATCTTTCGCATCGATTGAAATTGAATCAATGCAGCATCAGTGATCGAGTGGATCGCAACTATTATCGTGTCATGCTTAGTTGTAGAGAATTTAATTTTTTGTATCAATATGCCGGAGAAAAAAAAAACTGATACCTTGAATTGCGACGGGGAAAAAAGTGGGGTGAAGATCAGTGGAATAAGACAGTAAATGATGGATAAAGGATTTCTCAAGTCGACGCGAATCAACTCAACTCGGGATTTTAAAAGCCTTTTGTCCCGAGATTCTCCCCCAAAATCTCAGATCCCTCATCCGAAAGAATCTATTTTCCCCTGTCTCCGAATTTCGGGGAAAAAATCGAAATTGTAGCTGGGCTCAGCTGGGAGTCAACGAACCAGTCGGATTGTGCAAATTTACTGGAGCGCATATCTCGCGGATTTTCTTCGCCAAAACCGCAGTTTGTTCAGCACGCTAATGCGCCTTGACACGCCCACGAAAGCACACATACGGTCTCTTCTAAACTGAATTTGCTCCCCGCAGTTACATTTGGTCTCCTTTGTGCATTTTCTTCCATACAGACAAAAAAAAAAGGTTTTTGTCACTTTTGTGTCCTCACAGAGACGCGATCTTTTTCAAGTACGGTATTCTTTATGAGCTACTTCAAGCTCCAAAGTCACAATGCGGTCCAACAACTGTCAAAAGCTTCATTCAACATAATTCTTCTCGGGTTAAAAATAAAACACTATACTGAGACTGTGTACTGTAAAGTGTTTTATGTTACTAATAACGGAGAAGAAATTACAGTCACATCTCTTCAAGGCAAAGTCAAAAGGAAATAACAGAAAATTGCGCCAGAGATTTTTTTGCGTTAGAGAAACCAGAATTTTTAATGGGGGAACATAAAGAATGAAGGGGAGGTAAATTTTGCGATATTGTAGGCTTTAAACTGCTAGATGAAAGAGTTGACGGGTTGCTGAACTTGAAGGCATGGGTACTTTTTCCCAATTAGTCTCTCTCAAGTCCCTTTGAAAAGCATCAACCTTACTTATTTTTCTCTTGATCTTCTCATTTCGCAGCTTTGGACCCAAGAGCAAATAACCCAAAAGACCTCTAGACATTTGAGTTTTAAAGGTTTGACGGGGAAAGCCTTCGTTCGGGATATCCATATTCCTTTAAACTTGAGTGAATTCAGAGAATGCATTTTTTTTAGCATAAGATATGCTTGGTGTGGTTCGACACAGCACGGTTCAACCGTACCTAGAAAATCCCCATCCCAAACTATAAGTCTTGCATAAATTTTTGCCGTACTACGGCTCATCTCTAGAGAAAGTTTCGTAAAGCGTGCCATGAAATTTTGAAAGGTACGATATGCAATTTCGAATGAAAAAATACAGAGAAGCTGAATTTCCAATGAAACCCGTGACATGTTTTTCTTTTTCTCGAGTTTAATGCATCAAGATTCATTTTACTGGTTTGGGAATTCACAAGTATTTTTTTTGCACAAGACACCTTTATTCCGCTACCATCGGAGTCTTAGCCTTATTTTTGGCATTGCGGTAAACTTATTTTAGGAAATATGAAGGGGGAAAATCTTTGAAATGCTGTACCTGAAAACATGACTCAAAATAATCGAAATGTGCTGCATGAACGATTATTTGTTGATCAATAGCAGGCGCGCGAAATGAGGACAACGATGAAACCCCTCCAATTCTCACAATAGGAAGCAGAATTTCAACCTTTTTATCTTTGTCTATATATTTTCAGAAATCCATGCTAATCATTCTAATGGAACTAAAAATCACGAAATTGGTAATTTAATAAATTTGGAATTGTTCCACCATACAAATGAATTCGCTTCCCTTGCGTCTGCAAAAGATTTATGCAGTACGTGAGCCGCTTGAAAAAGGATATTTAGTCGCATTAAAAAAGAAAAATTTAGGTCACATTTTAAACGCATCGACTCACGAGCAGAGTAAGTTTCGTTGACAGCCAGCAGAAACCGCGGTTATGTAGGAAAAATGTTTATTTCAAACATGGCATTAAAAAAAAAAAAAGGTTCACCACACGGTTTGTAAAACTAGAGGAAGTATAGTATATAAGGAAAGAAAACCCGCGTGTTCATCGTTGACACTTTAGTCTGACTCTGCAAGGAATAAGAAGACGACAAAGCGACGAAAGACAGCCTATTATCTTTTCCTTTTTTTCTTTGCCTTCTCTTTTTTTTCAAGCATTTCACATACGTATGCAGTATTGTTGTTTGAGGCAACGTCGAGGCATAAATTTGTGTGCTTGCGGTAAATTTGCTTTGCGTCGGCGAAGCGCTGTGGGAATCTTCCCCTTGTGGGTGAAATGGATGGGATGGAATAATACATGCGTGCTTTTTGCTCTCGTTGTTCTTGCTTGACGGCCTTTGCGTTGACGACGAAACAATTGCGGGTCATTGTAGACTTTCTCGCGAGATCAAACCTTCGTATTTTGCTTTACAGTAAAGTACAGTGCAGTACAAAGCAGGCTTTTGGTTTTTTTTTCTTACTCTTGGCGGGTGGCTTTATCAAGGGCTTCACTGTATTCCAGTCCTCAATATCCCGAGGAAGACCGGAAATACAGTAAGACCCACAAATTCGGACGTAATTGGTGCATCAAGAGTGTCCCTAAGTTGAATTGTCTTCAAGTTGAGTCTTGTTTTCTCATAGACTGAAATTATATAATTTTTAATTGGTGTTTTATGGAAGAAATGTTCTTCAGATTTCTATGAGAAAAATGTTTTCCCCCTTGAATTTGATTCAGTGAATATCTTTTCATCAGAATTCCATGAAAAAAATTTTTCCCACTTGAATTTGATTCAGTGAATATCTTTTCAACTCAATAAGAACATTTGGAGCATTTAATAGCATATCTCTGTACTGTACATTGAAATGCTGGCATCTACAAAAATAACATTCAAGTCACAAAGAGAGAAAGAAGTCCCTCTATGGCAATAGTTAATTTTTTAATTAGCTGAATGGATGGGAAAATGATGGGAGAAACGACAAAGAATTTTTCTGGAATAAATCTTAGGGTTGGAATATCTGTTTCTTGCAATCAAGCCAAATAAAATTCAATTTTTGTGAAATTTATTGGGACTTTTATCATGGAATGTCCTCATGTCAAATAAGTTTGTGTCCGCATGCCAGGCCTTTTTTTATGCTCTTTTATTGAAAAATAAATGTCCATATGTCAAATTGTCCTCATGTCAAAGTGTCCACATGTGGGGGTCTCACTGTTTACATTTTGGTCTCGAGAGAATAAGAAATTTCAGGCTTAGCAAAGAATTAAAATAACTGGTACAACGAGGAAATTTCCCAAGTAATTCAACAGACTTGAACGCATTACAAAACATCACCAGAAAATAGAATTGGAATATCTTTTGTAAAAGTTGAAGTGAGTCCGATTCATTGTTCTTTATACACAGTAATATAGTCTTATCAATATATGATTATGGTGTTCTGTACTTCAATAAATGGCTAGCTGTGACCAGAAAATGTATTAAGGCACAATAAGATCTTCAGCCTGTTCCCAGATGAGGTTTAGTTGAATGAACAGCTTAGTAAGGATGTTTGATGAGAAATCGTATGAGGTCAACAGTTCATCTTGATCCTCAATGATTTCAGAAAGGGTCTCTTCATTTGATCCCAATATGCATGGATGAGAAACGCCACACATTAGTATAATATTATAACTTGCTTGTTATTCCAAAGTCGCCCTAATTGAAAATGCTTTTCTAATTAATGTGCATCTCTTTTTTTTTTTTTATGCAGGGAGCAAAGAAACGGCGTACATTTACGCAGTGACGTCAGCCGGCGTCGTCCACTCCGTCACCGCCGCCTGCGGGCTCGGTGAGCTCGCCGAGTGTTCCTGCGACGCCGAGCGGAACGGCGGCCGAACCACAGCCGAGGGCTGGAAATGGGGCGGCTGTTCCGCCGAAATCGGCTACGGACGCGAGTTCGGACGCCGTTTGGTCGACTCTCCGGACGAGGCCAAGATCCGCGCCCCGGGGGTCAAACGCGGGATCCGGCGCCGCGCCGCCATGAACCTGCTCAACAACGAGGCCGGAAGAGTCGCCGTGGCGCAGCTCATGAAGAACCAGTGTCGGTGTCACGGGATCTCGGGATCCTGCGAGCTCAAGACGTGCTGGCGGTCTTTGCCGCCCTTTCAGGAGGTCGGCGCCAGGCTCAAGGACCGCTACGAAAACTCCGTCGCCATTTCACAGATCAACGAGGTATAGAAATCATTCCATTTTTCTTTTTCTTTTTTTTAATCACTAAGCTTTTCAATCACAAGGAAAATATCTGCGAAATATGAAATCCGGAATAAGAAATAGGAATATCTGCTACAAAAGGGGATGTCGGGGTAAACATCGTATAAAATAAGCGAACCGAACTGCGACATTTTCTTACATTTGAAATAATAATAAAAAATAAAAAAGCCATTGTGTGCTGGATTTTTTTTCGAAAAGTTATTTTAAACTATTTAAAGGATGGATTTCTGTACTTCTGATGCAATTTTATTCTTTGCATAGTCAATGGTTATCCACAATAAAAAGGGGATTTTGGGTTTTCTTGAGGAAGTATAAAAAATAAAAGAACCAAAATGGATCGTTTTTTTAACATTTGAAACTGGCTTTAAAAACAAAGAAGTCCATTTTTCCCTAGATTTGATACACAAATTGTTTTTAAAGGTTGAACTTCTGTACTTTTGATGCAATTTCATTTCTTCGTGTTGTGAATAGTTATCGATAAAGGGGATGTTAGGGTTTCTTGAGGAAGTATATAAATATATCGGTACCAAACTGCGTCATTTTCTGACACTTGATATCTATTTTGTACCGTTTTTTTTTCGTAGATTATTTAGAAACAATATTTTTCGACGATTGCGATTTTTGTTTCTTTAGTTTAATACTGTAGTATTCCTTTTACTGTCGGTATCTATGCGCAAAACATGATGCTGGAATTTGGCAGAGGAAAAGAAAACTGAACCAAACTGAGTCATTTTTTGACACCTGGAAGAACTGTTTTTCACAAACAGTTCTTGTTTTGTATTTGCATTCTTGGAAATATTTTCGTTTGGTTTTTTCGCACGAGTGCTTTAAAGCACTTTTTATTTTTTAGTTTTAAGCTGCAGTCTAAAGGGATCGCAATTTTGAATTCGTGCTTACTCTGTAGTGTCAGAAACATCTGATGTACAGCCAATTTTCTAAAACAAAATCCCATCGAATCACTCGTCACGAAGAAGTTAATCACTTTATTTTCTCTTACGTTTAGCGATAGAATAAATTGCTGCTCGTATGGATGCAAATTTTGCGATTAGGCCTTGAAAAAATAAGTGCGAATTCTGCAGTCCGCGAACGACGTCCTTCAAGGAATTTTCCGCAATGAGAACGGCATTGTTTGTTCGCAGTAACGGAATACAGTACCATGTTCTGTATTTGATTTTCCTCAGTCCGAATCGCCGTCATCTGAATGCATATCTGCTTCTTTCCTTTTCTTTTTTGCTGTTTGTTTGCTATTTTATTTTTGAAGTATCGATTGCATAAAAAATTGTATCTGAGGCCCGAAAGCAGCACCGAAGCAACAGATCCTAGTATCTCGAGTAAACAGCGCTTTGTTCCTTCCCCCGGGGAAGAGGCATTTAAGTTGAGTGCAGCAATAAAAACCCCGGGTCCGGAGTCAGTACAATTTAAGGCAAAAGCGTAGGTGAACTTTACTGCTCCCGCGGGGGCAGCAAAGCAACGCAATGCACTCGTCTATGCCGAAACTGAGTGAAAGTTGGGCTTGCATAAAGTTGGGGGGAAACAAATTTTGTCGTGATTACAAGTCAGCAACCTTTTATTATTGGAAAAAAAATTTGAAACCCGAGACGAGATATTTTATAATTGGCTTTTACTGCTATTTCGATTAATGATGCTCGCGGACTAGCTGCGCGGAAGGCAATAAAAAAAATCCTGTAGGTATTGTATACGACTAAATATTTTTATTTAGTACGGAAAGGTTAGTTGAATTAAATATTGAAAATTCAGCGCTATTAGGAGGAACGTAATTTGTCGTCTTTCAGGTTTTGATAATAAACATTTTAGGAGAAGACCGAGTTCAAAAGGTCGACGTAATATAGATACCTTTCGAATTTTTAAGCTCCTTCGACTTATTTAAAATTATAATATACCTGGTCTTTCGACTTCGTGCTTGGTCGGCAGTAAAAACGACCTTATAAAAAAATCAAACCGAAGAATTTTTGCCCATTTAAAACATTGTCTATGATTATTATTTGATTAATAATCTTTCAAATGAAGATTTTTCGGATAAAAAAATCATGAATAGATTTCTGAAGATTCTAAAATAGTTTCATCACGCGAAAAGATTATGAATTGATAGAAAATGGATTCGTAATTTAGTCAAGTTTGGTATCGAAAAATGAAAACTTTGTCGAATCATTTTGAAATTAAAAAGGAAATCCGTTGACAAAATAAAATATGAATGCATCAGAAATGCACGACATTTTTTCAGGTTCAAACTGGTTTTTATACGCACCGGTCCAAAAATATGTTTGAAAATTCAAGATTCCCTGAATTGGCAAATTTTCTCTTCTGAAGCCAGTTTTTAGGAAAAGCCCCTCGTCTAAATGGCCAGAAGTTTTGAGCCCAAGAATGTCGGCGCATTTGCTCGGAAAAGTAGCTCCATTCGTCCGCTCCTTGGATGAGTTTATTGCTGGCCACGGCTTTTTGATGTTATGTTTACGTTCAGTATAAAGTTAACAACAACTTCATCGTATTCGTTCTTTTCTAGACGAGCATGTATATATTTTCCCCCCATTGAATTACATCAATGATTTCGAAGTACCCGATGCTTTTAAATTTTGAAAACATTTATTCGAGAAATGCTCAAAAGAAAAGTACTTCCGCTAAAAAAAATGCTCATCAGAAGTATTCAGCTTTTAGTGATGGCAGTCGCAAGTGAAACGCATAAAATAAAAACTGTTGAATTTATATTTTATTTGTAGTGAAGGTTTGGCTAAGATTCTTGTTTGATTTGACTATACTGTAATTCAAGTCTACGTCTAACTAAGGTATTATATTTCTGACTTCAATTCTAGTTCAGGTCCAATTATGCAAAATTTTACCCTGGATTATAATCGTAAATATTGAACTTTTACTCCGGATTTTAACGGATTTCGTTCCATCCCACAGACTCCTCTCCGGTTTGAAGATAAACAAAGAATCATGCTGTCAGTTTTTTTTATAAACTGCTGTATTGTTCAAACAAAATCGCCCCAGAGATTTAATCTCAATGGTTTTCTTTGTCTCCGCAGTTGCCATTCAAAAGCCGAGGAATTCGGAACAAGAAACGCCGCCGTCGCGGCAACACAAACCGGAAACACGCCGGACTCAATTCGGCGTCCCTGCTGGCACTGTCGGACGCCCCCGCTGTCCGCAACAGCAGCAGCCGAGGCACCATGTTGTCTCCATTCTGGACAAATACCAACAAAAACAACAACAACAATAACGCTGAAAATATTGACGACAGCCGCAGCACCAGCAAACGCAGGCGGTCCTCGCAGCGGCGCCAGGTGGCGTCGCCGACGAGTCACCACGGCGCCAGTGAGAATAAGTTGGGCAACGAGGTGCCATTGAAGTTGCCCGGGATGGGCGACAAGTTGGTGTACATCCACGAGAGTCTCAATTATTGCGAGGGCGACAAGCGGCGCCAGATCCCGAGCACTTCTGGGCGCCGGTGCTCGCGGGACTCCACCAAGGGCGACTCCTGCGACGTGCTTTGCTGCGGGCGAGGCTACAATACACAGGTACAGTAATGTACACTGATTTAATCGGAAACATTTAGGGAACCCGTCATTCGTCGCGGGGTTTTCTTGGAACTCGTTTCTGATTCCGGGATCCCACTTTTAAAACATATACAGTGAGACCCCCACATTCGGACACCTTGACATGCAGACAATTCAACACAGGGACACTTATTTTTTCATAAAAATTAATAAAAAGGCCCAATAACATGAGGACACTGACTCAACATAGGGACATTTTCTGATAAAATTGCAAAAAAGTTTCAGACGGAATTAAGTAACAGATATTTCCAACCCTAAAATTGATGAAAGAAAAGTTCTTGGGCATTTCTCTCACCAATTTACCATCCATTTTGCTAATTTTAAAAAAGTTACCTCCAGCATAGAGGGACTTCCTTCTCTCTTTTTCACTTGAATTTTATTTTTACAGAGAATGCCAACATTTCTATGTACTGTACAGAGGTATCAGCATTCAATTCCCCAAATGTCCATATTGTGTTGAAATATATTGATTGAATCAGTTTTTATTGGGAGACAATTTTAATTTTCATGGAATTATGGTGAGTATTTTGCGCATAAAACCCCAATTAAAATTATATAATGTAAGTCTAAGGAAAAATGAGACTTGACTTAGGGACATTTCAACTTAGGGACACTCTTGATGCACCAATTGCGTCCGCATCTCGGGGTCTCACTGTACACTGCGTTATACCTTAATTGTTCCCCCAAAAATGAGACCAAAACAAAAATAAAAACACTCACGTAGCGATTTTTTTTTCAAAAACAAACTGAAAACTGTTTTTATTTTTATTTTTGGGGATTCTGCCCAAAAAATAAACCAAGATAAACCTTGCTGAACAAAAATCGAGGCCAAAAATAATCCTTACATGACGATCGATGCTTGAAAAGTTCATGATGTCAACTAAAATGTTTTTCCTCTGCGATTTGAAAGTAACGTGTTTCCAGGATTCCGCCCAGAAAAAAATCGAGATAAACCTTTTTTCAACCCCGTCAAATTAAAAAAAAA